TTTAAAGGAATCATTAATTAGTGAGACCAGGACTTCCAACACATGTTTTGGGAGTTTTAAGAACATTTTTATGGATAGAGAATAGAGTCTTATAAATAATGAATTCGAGACCATTTTTGAATTGGGGAGATCTTATGTTAGTTTTATTTCGAAGATCATTTATTATGGACCAAGTTTCCCTTACGTTAGAGTTTCCCAGACGATTTTGATAGTACATTCTTTAGCTGTTTCGATAAGTTTAAGATAGGTTCCTTTGGTAGTCCCGGGTTTGTGATGTTTTGACTTAATTATAATGAAAGGAAATGCCTTATTGAACATACATCCACAGAGGGAAGTGCCACCCAGAAGTCAAGCATACATTTTGGAATTTACGAAAGTTCTGAGTTAAAGATATCCTATCTAAACGTTTAGTTGTCGAGGATTGTTTATTAAGAGTGTTAAACTTGGTATAATACTGCTTCATGATCAGATAGTCCTGCATTAATAATAATTGTAGAGCGTACATCAAGGGGTGAGAAATTAAGACAATATAATCAATTATGGTAGATGTTGTTTTAGTCCTTCTTGTAGCAGAATTCATGTGCATTGTGAAACCATTATGATTGGAATATATTGACCAAGGATAATTGGGTAGCACAAGCAATAGCGTAATTAATACTGAAGTCATCCCATAGAATCTTTCTGCTTTTATTGGGTAGGTCGTCTAACAAATTTAACAGGTTCTCAATACTCTGAGTCTTAAGTCTATATCTTTCTCAAAACTTAATAATATAAAGTAAATAAAATGATTCCTTTGTTCTAGTACTATAGTATGCTATAGTATAAAAGTTAATACAAGATATAAACCAAGACAAAGAATAGGCTGATAGTCCATCTATTATTCAATCTTAATCTGACATCTAAAGTTTTTTTACTCTCCCGTATCGCATTGAATGATAAACTTTTTAGAGGCCTAAAGACAGCACTGATGAGTTCACAGTCGAAAAAGTAATTTTAAAATCATACACACAACGCAAAAGTCTAGGGATATTTTTATAAATAGACATATTTTGTTTATTTGTAATCAACTAAATTGTATTAGTTTAAATTGTTGTTTAATATGTCAAACCATCACCATAAACTGCAAAAAACAGAAAATTGGAGCAAAAAAATATAGTGCAAATCACCCATGTTTCACATATAAAATGTCAAAAATACGAAATATAAATTTAAAATAAATTATGGCCACCACGTTGGTTTATCACAGCTCTACATCTACTGTTCATGCTCCGAATCACATTGTTAATGTCTGCTTGGGGTAGTTGTGTCCATTGATCTCTCAGAAGGTCTTTTAATTGAAACTCATTTTAGATATTGCCCATATATGGAGTAATTCTTCGTTGGAATATGTCCCATACATGCTCAATGGGACTCAAGTCCGGTAATTGTGCTGGCTACGGCAATACATCAATACCCTCGTTATCCAACCAGTTTGTTACAATATGTGCAACATGTGGTCGAGCGTTATCATGCATAAAGTAAAAATTTTCTCCAACAGCAGCAGCAAACAGGTTCAAGAATAGTGTCCAAATATTGCTGACTTGTAGAAAAAAGCCAAGTGAGAAAATGAGGTCAGTTCTTTCGTCAATCATGATTCCGCCTCATACCATTAATGTAGCACCTCTGTATGTATACACTACCTGAAGATGTCGTAATCGTTCTCCATTTCCGGGTCATCTCCAAACTCTTGTCCGACGAGAATCTGGATGAAATTCATATCTAGACTCGCCACTAAACAAAATTGTGGCCCAGTCATTGTCAGTCCAATTCTGAAACTCTTGACACCAGGTCAATCTTGCAGAGCGATTGTCTTAGATAGAGGTGGACATCTCAGTGGTTGCAGATTACGAAGATTGGCCTCATGGAGACGATTCGTCACCGTACTGCTGCTAATTGTTACATTATGTGCAAGCTGTAATTCATTATCCAGCTCGGGTGCTGTGATTGTTGGCTGCCTTCTGGCATTTAAAATTAAATATCGGTCTTGAGCGACGGTTGTAGGGTGACCACGTCCTGGATGTTGCTCGGCTGGACTCCCAGTGTCTCTAAACCGACGCCACGAACTACTTAAGACGCTTTGGGAGGCACCCAGCTGGTCAGTAACTTGAGTTTGTCGCATACGAGCTTGAAGGAGGCCCACAGCTCTATTCATCTCGTCCAACGTTGAATGTTGTCGTTGCATGATAAAAAGACAATATCTTTAACTCACCTATTAAGCAAGAATGGTATAAAGTGACTAAAATTAAAAATAAACAAAACATAAAAATGTCGATTTTTTTTTTACAATTTTTTTTTTAATAAGAAGTGTGTGTATCAACAATTATATACAAGCAAATTTATTTGGTCATGAAATTTCTGTAATTGGTATTGTCAAATTATTAAAATATCCTTAGAGTTTTGCGATGTGTGTATAAAAGTATGTTTAAGTTCATGAAGAGTGTTTGAAAAACAATCAACTCATTTTTCAGTAAAAACAGTTTCAGTTTTTGCTTGCATCTCTAATTGTATACATATATAATTTTATAATTTCTGTTTACTCAAAAAAAGTTGTTAAAAATTTTTGGTTAATTTTGGCACCGACCGTAGACATACCAACTGCCTCATAAATATTTATTAGCACACTTTTACAGGTGTACATAACCAAAGAAGAAAGAAAGAAAAACAATAACCCTCGTGTCACTGACTCGCTATGTTTGTGATTTGTTTTTATCTGTTTTACACCAGATATTTTGTCTCGTGACTCAACGGCGAAGGTGCATGCCCTTCGGAAGATAATAAAAAATTATTTACATTTAAAGTGTGCGACAAAAATGGTGATTATTTTGAAAGTAAACCGTTCTTGTTTGCCTACACCCGAATCGTCGCAAACAAAAGATATTTTTGTTTGGATGTCAATTGTTAGTGTAATTAAACAACAGTTTGAAGACCTAATTAGACGAATCAGTGTCTAAAACCAAAGCGTTTTGTTTATTTGTAAAAAATATATTATTGTTGATATGATCGAAGTCTTCAATAGGCTACTTCCTTTCCTTAATTAATATGCAAAATAATAAACTATACTTTAATTATCAAATAAGAAACATGATTGATGATTTAAAGAGATTCTTCTTCTTCATTCCAGGGTTATAGTCGATTTTGTTCGTTATGTTTATATGTTGCTAAAATTTTGTTCTGTTAGCGAAGTAGTTGTAAGAATTTGGCATGTATATTATGGTCTACCGTAAAAACATGACACAACCAGCACATATTAGTATAAACGGCATTCAAATTGAAAAAGTATCAAGTTACAAATACTTGGGGACTTCAATAAATGAAACTGGAGATCAAAACAATGAAATAAAAAGACGTATCGAAATTGCCAGGGCCACCTTCATTAAGATGAAGAAATTCTTCTGTAACAGAGATAAGCATCCCTCCACGATTAAGAATGCTAAGCAGCTAGTGTAGAGGCCTGGACTCTCAAACAGAACAACATAAGAAATATTGAAAGTTTCAAGACGTGGTGCTACCGTCGAATGCTGACGATAAATTGGGTTGAAAGAGTCACAAACTTTGAAGTAATATGAAGGATAGGAAAAGACCCAGAAATTTTGTCAATGATCAAACGAAGAAAATTCGAATATTTGGGTACAATGCAAGGAAAAGTAGAAGGAAAACGGAATCCAGTCCGTAGAAGAATGTCATGGTTGCGTAATTTGAGAGAGTGGTTTGGCTGTACCACTATTAGTACCACTATTATTATATTAAAGAGAAGTGGGCTTAACGAATCACGTCTGTCTCCGCTTTGTAGGTACTGGTATACACTGTGTTAGTTTTCCATTTATTTTTGCCTGTATTCGGTTGTTATTTTCAATTTGTTTTATTATTTTGTAATCAAAAATTTGTGTTCCATGTAAATTATTTTAGTTTGGCCAATAAAAATTCTAAATGTTTGATGGGGGAAATTCCTGATGTGTTTGATTTAAAATCGTTTTTACTTTTTCCTGTTGGTCGCCATATTCATGTTCATTTGTGTTCATCTTCCTCTTGTTGGTTTCATTATCTTCATCCTGTTCCACTTCTTATTTTCTTTTTTTTTGCCTAGAGTCGTAAGCATCTTTGTTTCTCTTTAATATTCTTCTTTGAATTTCTAGTTCTTCTGTTCCATTAGTTTAATTTTTGCAGTGTTATGCAATAGTGAAACTTTTTTTCAATGTCGTCCTTAAATTCAACTGTGCGTCTGTTTCCACTTGCTCTTGACTATGCAAGCTTTTTTGTCTTTTGAATATTTATTTCTAGTCCGTACTCTTTTGCCTGTGTGTTTAATTATGAATATACTTCTGTCGCCTCTTCCATTCTGTGAGACAAAATGCTGATGTCATGGGCTAGGCAGTAATCTGTGTTGGTTTATATTTTTTGGGAGATCATATTTGTTAGTATGTGTTTTTGCTTTGTCTACTGTCCTTTTCCACCCTCCCCGGTCCGTTTCTGGTTAGAAAATTAGCTCTTCCTTTGTACCTCTTCCTAACTGTCTTATTACATATTCGAGAGCCAGGTTGAATAGTATCAGCGCCAGCCTGTCTCCTTGGCTGTTGAACAGTTCTCATTGAGCTTATTTTGTATTATAACAGTTGGTTTTGACGAGTCCATTGTTGCTATTACTAGTCGGATGCATTTTTGGGGAATGTTAAAGCCATGTAATATTTGATATAACTTATGTCTATTAACTGAATCGTAGGCGTGTTTGAAATCTATGAATATGTTATGTACGTCAATGTCGTATTCCCACGATTTCTTTTTCAGTACTTTTACGACCTCAAAATTATTCAATTTTTAAGTGTTTAGTTTGCGAATATATTGACGTTATGGCTGTGGTGGTGTGCATTTTCAAAGTCTGTAATGGTTGGTTGATCAAACATAGCGTTCATTTGTCAATCAACTTAGTTGTAGTCGACATATTGTAATAATGTTGTGTTTTGCAGGAATCCGAAATTTACCAGAAGTGTATTCGACCGCCTCCAAACCGCACAGTACTAGAAAGCGAGTCCCCGCCACCGTACAGGTCCTGTTCAGCCGGAATGCTATCGACCTCGTCATCCAGCAGCAGCACCAGCAGCGAATGGTCGACCTCTTCGAATCCCCTAGTAGTCCGGTGCCATTCGATGTCCTCAACTTCTTCATCAAAACCTATAAACAACCCATCTCATAGTGTAACTATACAAAAGACTGATTTTTTACAAAGAACTGTTAAAATTTTTACGGGGGGTGGCAAAAAGACCGCCTCACAGCAGACTGTTTATCAACCGCCCCCGGCTCCGACGTTGCCAGTCGTCATCGTGCCCACCATAGTGAGGAGCCAGAGGGTCGTGAACAAACCCCCCTCTGACGTTTGACCATACGTCACTTCTTAGCTGATGACTTTTTGTGCGAATACATGTTTTTTATTCCATATGTTTAGCCTCGTCTAGCGTCACGAGACGTTTACGGTACGGATGGTCGGCTCCTAAAACAAAACCAACGTTTTTGTAAAGTATATTAATTTGTTATCACGAATTCTAAGGTATTCAAAAACAACTTGTATGACGTTGATTTCAATTAATTTCTTATAATCAAAGTCTACAAAAGATCGATAACTTCGTACACCTCTTGTGCTTTTATCACTTAAATTTGAAGATATTTCATATAATTTATTCATAAAAACTCTGGAATATTATTTAATGCAGTTTTTAAACTTTTTACAATTCTGAATATAACCGTTACAAAAGGCCAGGTTAGGACTTGCCCAAATCACATTCACATTTTTCCAGTCCCCCAAAATATTTCTTTTTATATCAGTAAGAATTGTCCTACCTGTGCAGAATCCATAATGATGCCAAGAAATCTCTTTTTCGTTCAGTAAATGAATTGTTAAAAACGAAAAAAGTTTATGTGAAATTAAAAATTCGACAAAAAATGCTCGATAAAACCCACTTTTATTATCTTACGTGCATAACTGAGTACAAGTTTTCTAAATATTTTTTTATTTTCTTTTTGGGAGCCGACTTACAACACGCTAAACGAACATTCTCGATACAATTTGTGTATGTCGAAAAGGTAAATATGTAACTAAGTTGAAGTGTTGGAAAACAGTTTTGAAAACAAATATTTTGACGTTTTTCCTCCTAAATGACAGCTTTAGATTTATTTCTATATTTTATGAACATATTTCTATATTTTAGAACAGAATAAGGATATTCAGGTAAAGTTTTACCACAAATAAAGGTCGGGGTTGTAATAATGATTGTTCGCAAATATAATTCTAGTCATTCATTGCATATCTTCGATATTTTATAAGAATTTAATTATTTTCTTTCGTTTTTTTAGTTATATATTCTTCTGTATAGCTGCCAGACGTTGTTACTTATTACTTCCTACTAAATTTTGGCTTGCTACCTCCTTGTGCTCCTAAAGCTTAGCTACATTTACTCGAATTCCAAGATTTTAGAACTTATTCTTGTACTAAGTTAGCCTTTCTGTCTTGAAAGATCTTCCAAAATCTTCCGTTTTCGCTCGATTGTCTTTGAACTTTAAAATATTGCTTTCTCAAGCTTTTGAACTCAAAATCCTCCTTACTAGGTGGATTTCTTTGGTACTATTTACGCCATTCTTCATTATTTTGTCCACTGATAGCATAGGAGATATTTAGAAATAAGTAGTCTTTTCAAACTCCAGACTTGACTGAAAAAGATATCAACAAACTTTTCTTGGTGCTCCATTTAGTACCTGAAGTTTCTATATGTGACTTGCACCATCTTTATAATCTTCTAGGGCATTCCACGCTTTATCACTAGCAATCAAATCAACCCAGAGTTGTTTCGAACCTTAGAACTCAAACTGCCAGGGCAGGTTGTCAGGTTTTAGATAAGTGAGCTTCTTTTAGACTAAAGGTACTTTCCAGAACGATCCTCCTGTAGGAAAGGTCTAGCACTACATCTAAGGCAGAAATAGGGTACAATCTCATTGTAACTGATTCATAGACAAGTGAGTCTTTGCACAGATTGCAAATTTGTTACAGCTATTTGCTTCGCTATTTAGCTTTACCAAATCAGCACAGGTGTGATCTGTCATATATAACCAATAGATAATTGTAGGTTTCACACTCAATATGAAGATAGTCAGTAGCTTGGTGTAACTTCAGACATATTTGAAAGAGATTATAATGTAAAGAGGCTGAAAGTTTTTATATGTGGCTTGTTCTCTGGAGTAATCCATACTCTTTCGTCGCTTTCAATAGCGAATATCCATTCTATATCAAGCGAACCTTTGAGGTCAAAGACCTTGACCAACAATCGATTGAAAATGTTTATAGTTTTTGTCTTGGAAAGATCGCAGCCATAACCCTTTGAACTCAAGATAGATGGTTCTGTTTCTATTCATACAATTTTCAATTATTCTGTCCACTGACGTGATAAATAGCATAGGTGATATTAAGTAGCCTTCTTAAGCTCCAGACGTGACTGGAAAATATATCAACAAGGTTTTTTTTGGTCTTGCATTTGGTAATTTAAAATTGTTTTCTTGTTTTCCAGTTTTCTATAGGAACCAAGTTAACTCAGGATTGTTCTGAACATATAACCAGTCGGGTTGTTAAATTTTAGATATTTTGTATTGCCTAAAGGCTCCAGAACAATTCTAAGGTGCTCTGAATGGGATGTTGTAATATTTACTAGTCACTTAAATAATGTTTCAAACGTCTTCCATTTACAATACTCTTATTATGAGAATTCTCATAACTATGAAATCGTTTCATGTCTAACAAATCATCTTATCTATAATTTGCGAAATCTCCACTCCAAAAAATTTTTATTGTCTCGAAATGAACTTATTCACTGATTGACGTAGTAACTTCCAGGAAAGGAAAACACTAAAAGAAGGCATTATCTTCTATCTTATCAAACTTTGTTCGATCACTTGCAGCATGAATGAACGAGACAAAATTTCGGATTACACCATCTGCGTAATCTTTGGGGTATTACTTAATGTAGATAAGAGACTTCCCAATTATGTAGAATGATGTCATTTTAATAGTTGTGTGTTTAGACTGTTTTAATTAATTAAAGTAATCCGGAGACTATTTTAAAAACATTTATTGTTGACCATATTTTCTTATGGACCGAACATTTAATGTTTCATCACATTTCGTTGTACTAGTTTCATTCATACAAATGTACAGGTTTATATTTTTCATCTGCTCCTTCTATTCACATTATTCCAAAGTTATTTTATATTTTTTTCTATTTTTTTTTTAATTAACCAACATCCTAGAACTGGAACTATCTTTTTTGGTGTTTCCTCCTTCAAATTGTAAAAAGAGGTTTCGAACTGCGTGCCAAAAAGTTTTACTAATCCTACTCCTAGTCCTGCTATGCTTATACCTACTCCTTATTTTAGCCCGCTTCCTCCCCATTCATCTCCTTATACTTTACTTTCTCATTCCTGCATCACATTTATGAGATTTGAACTGTATGAGGTTCCTTTTTCTTTGTTTTCTTTTTAGATTCTCTATTTTTTTCTTTGTGTGAACATTTGTTGTGGCTTCCCTTTTAGTTTTTTGGGAAAAACGCATTGATTGAATTAAAATTTAAACTATACACAACTGTTTCACCAACAACTTCTTATTTGTACTGTTAAATATTCCTCCAGAAGTAATCTGTGGCAGTTTAATGGAAAATTATTGGTATGACCTTTTTTGACACTTGGGCCACCAGATTTCAGAAGGATTTTTCGGAGCTGGATGCCAAAAAAGTCATATGCATGATTTCCTCCTACTCATATTTTCAGTTTGTCTCTTATTCTTATTCCTACCCCCATTATTGTTCTCTTCCTCCTCATTCATCTCTTCATCATTTATTTTCTCTTTCTTGCATTAGATTTGAGGTCTATAAGATGTTTTCTCTTTGGTTTCTCTCAGATTATTAATTTTTCTGTTTCTAGACTATTTTTTGTAGCTTTCCTTTTATCTTTTTCTTCAAAACGCACTGACTTAATTAAGTCCAACTGTACACCTTCTCCAAAAATTCTTATTCGTGGTGTTCAAAATTTCACCAGGAGTGTCCAATATTTCGAAAAGTTTTCGAGCTGGGTGCAAAACATCAAATAAGGAATTCCTAAATCTAGTCCTTTAGAATAGGCAGAGAGAGGGAAATGGAAAATACAATAAAAGAAAGGAAATTGCAATATCTCGGACATGTGATTAGAGGCGAAAGGTACAACACCTTGAGACTCATAATTCCAGGAAAAATAGAGGGTAGGAGAAGCGTAGGAAGTAGACGCGTTTCCTGGTTGAAGAACCTGAGAGAGTGGTTTGGTTACAAGGTTGCAGTTCAGAGCAGCTGCCTCGAAGGTCAGAATAGCCATGCTGATTGCCAATCTTCGTTGCGGAGATGGCACTTAAAGAAGAAGAAATTTAGTCCTACTGCTAGTTTACCTCCTATTTCTATTCCTTACACTAGAATGAGAAAGAGGACTAAAATGAATAGTAGGTAATTTTAGGACTTCCTCCTCATTCCCTTTCTTATCCTTTAATTGCTCTTTCCTGCATTAAATTTATGAGATTTGAGGCGTATAATATTTCTTTTACTTTGGTTCCTTTCATATTACGCATTTTTCCTTGTTTAACATTGTTTGTGTTATAAAAATGCAAGACAGGAAGTGCAAACTTTAGATAGTTGGAGTATAATACTGTAGAATTGTAAAAACAAACTAAAGCACTGGAGAGAAACCAGTAAACCTGGTATATATCGTAAAATGAGTCAAATAAAGCAAAACAACTATAAACTTAACCTAATTTTCTATTAACTCTTGTTTTTTTTTAATTTTTTTTTGTTGGTATCTTTGGAGCAAATAATTTTTTGAGAGTGATTGGTCATTTTCCTCCTAATTTTCAACTATCGAGGAAGAAAAATGTCAAACATTTATTAGACTATTAATTAAAACTATTTATATTACACCAAAACTGTTTTTCAATCAAGCAAATGCAGTGCAATCGTTATATAGGTAAACTTAAAACACTTTTCGACCACACTACAGATTGTGTTAGGAATCGTTTAGCACTTGGTACCAACATCACAGAACTAGATCTAGCGTAAATTGAAAAGGTTCTGTGTAACAAATTATGTTTTACCCAAAGAAGTTAAAAAATTAACCTAATTTAAAGAACTTATAAAAAAAGTTTAATGTTTTTAGGTTATGTGAGGTTAAGTCATCAACAACGTTTTTGTAAGTGTAAGAAATATTGCTGAACGATTTTTAACTCCTTGTTGGGTAAAATGTGGTGTGTTGACGAAGACGCAGGGGCAAAGAGCTGTCGCCATCGTGTATGTGTACGACAGGGTGATTAGCAACGACTTTTAAG